ATGTCTGGCTAGGATGCGCCCTGTGACAAAATCTTATCGACGACAAACCCAAACGAAATATAGGCTTATCGCCTAAAATTGATAAAATTTCACGATAAAGCTTATGGTGGCGCGTATACTAAGGCCTGTGTGCTATTATAAAGTAGAAAAAATAAGAAAAACCCTTTGTGTAATTTGTCACCAGTTTGTATGATTTTCTGAAAAACTTGTGCCTAAAGAGCACATTCAATTGATTTGATTGAGTCATGTCAAGTCGTGACATATAAAGCGGCATTAAAAGTTGTGACGTCAGTGTTTCAGTCCATTAAATATTGTGATTACGTCATTACATTGTATGGTAGATGGTGCACAGAAAATTGCAAAAGAATTTAGCTTGAATTTTCACACTTTATATCCTCAAATGGGCTAGTTCAGTGATTCGTCCCACAACAAGTTCGTCTCACTGGGACGAAACACTGATTAAAAAAATATATATTTTTCGTTCTGGATTCGTCCCATTTAATTTATTCTCATAAAGAGATTCAGTACCGTCAGAAAGTCAATGAAATAAAAGAAAACATGAATGTTAACAATGTCTGTATTTAAAAGGAAATCAACATAGAAAATCTTAACAGCACCAGCTTAAAGAATCACTGAATCAAATTATGTATTATCAATGATTTTAGATTATATTTTTTAAAAATTTTTGCTGATCTAAAGTATATTCGGTTTAAGAACTTTATTTCTCATAAGAATTAACAATAATTCACTTCCTGAGAAACATTTCAATTTAAATATTCACGTGTTGATTTTCTTTTAAATACAGATATTGTTAACAAATTCATGTTTTCTTTTATTTAATTTACTTTCTGACGGTACTAAATCTCATTAATGTTAAAGAATAAATTAAGTGGGACGAATCCAGAACGAAAAATATATATTTTTTTGAATTCAGTGTTTCGTCCCAGTGGGACGAACGTGTTGTGGGACGAATCACTGAACTAGCCCTCAAATGCAAGTGTGAAAATATGAAATACATTTTTTATTTACATAAATTACTGAAAGTTTTCTTCGATAAGGTCGAAATAATAATAAATCAGCTGTCCCATACAAGTAATAACAAGTAGAACTACTTAATGATAAAATCAATTTAGACCTCTAAAACCTGCGTAGGTGTTTATGAATAACAAAATGTTATTTTGCATAACATTATTTATAAATGTCTGGGAGCCTTATTTGAAATGTCAATTTTTATTAGGCGACAAGATCTGTTAGGTGCAAAATTAAATAGAGTTGGCTTGCGAAAGAACTACCTATTTAGTTTAGGAATGAAGATTTCACTTTGATACTACTTTATAACTAGCTGTGCCCGCGACTTCGAACGCGTGAAAATAGTTTGAATAATATTTCCCGTTTTTGCAATTTTTCTTTATTGCTCCGCCCCTATTGGTTATAGGGGCTGTTATATAAAGCCTTCCTCGATAGATGGGCTATCAAACACAAAAATACTTTTTCAAATGTAGTGGTTCGTTCGTAAACGTGGTTCTAGCAGAGTAGGTAGAACCACTCCTATTCTTGTAAGAGGCGACTAAGGAACAAATATGCGATCATCAAGCCTCCCCAACCCGTCTGGCCAGCGTGGGGAGTGTAGGCCTAACCCTCCATTATTCTCTGGTAAATTACAGAAGGTTGCACCTATAGCGAAAAAGAAATGCGTCAATAATTTCCCTCCAAAACAGTTTGTCACCTCGATATCATCCTGACAATGGAGGAAAGACAGGGCAAACACTTGTATGTCAAAAAAGTAAAAAAGTCAACAAATACAAAAAATCTACGTGTGACTTTTTCACATCCCTTTTCTTTTGTATAAAACAAACGAGAGTAAAAAACGTCCTTGTTTTGTTTTTTATTTATTTAGGACGTACTTCAATGTTTGTTTTGAGTCAATATTGAAAAGTTTTGTCTTGTTAAGGTAAGTTTTTATAATATTTAAGTTACTAAAAACTGTGTGTGAAATGTTTCTCATAGCTGATTTACAATTCAGGCGGGCGAAACCGCGGGCAAAAGCTAGTATAGTTCTTGCAACTCACGAAGGCTCACTTTACTTGTGTACATGCACATAACGATAGTGTACTATCTATCAAAACTTTTGAAAAACGAACAGTAGCGAGTCTCCATACATCATGTAAAGCTAAATCTATAATGTCCATCACTGGACGTGAATATGCTGTGATTATACATTAGTCATGTTAGCATGTATAAATAATGACATCATCAAGGAAACCAAACGAGTTGTGGCTGTTGCCCTTGATCATGCATCTGATTATTAGCACGAAGAGAATAACAAGATGTATATTTGCAAATTTAACTTTAAACTAAAATATAAAAAGAAAATAAATATAAAAATAGTTTCAGTTAATGCCCACGGCTTCACCTGCGAGTTTCTAGCGCGAATTTCGTACGCGTGGATCCCGTTTTACTCCCTTAGGTGTTGAATTTTGCAAAATCCCGTCTTAGTGAGTACCTACGTTCTAAAAGGAACATTTGAGACTGCTGGCACTTGTAGTTTTTGAGATTTCGTAATGAGTGAATCAGTCAGTCAGTGACCTTTCGCTTTTTATAGATACCAACCGGTCAACCAACCGGACAACATGGAAAGCATTGGGGGAGGCCTATGTTCAGCAGTGAACGTACTATGGCTGAGATGATGATAATGATAATGATGATAGATAGATTCGTGTAGTAGACTATTAAGTGCAGTTCTGACTAGCCTTAGTAATTCAATTTAATTAAAACAACGTTTCTATCATGCCAAGTTTCCAGTGTCCGCTGCACCTCACAATAGTAGATTCGAATCACGTGTTTCCTCGTTGCATTCGCTTACGTAATGTCAGTCTGACAGTGCATAGGAACGACGCACACTGCGTGCACTGAGGCAAACACAAAGTCAAAGATTTTTTTCAGTACTTAGGCCCTTTCCAGAGCTCTTATACACGTCCCAATTGCCCTGCCACCATTTCAGGACAACATATGGGCTGGTGCTGAGATTTAAACAATTAAACTTAGTTACAATCGGGAATCATGACAAAAAAACTCCCATTTTTCAACATTCAGGGGAACCCTGTTGAGGGAAGATGGGAATACCCCTCCTCAATACACCGACCAGCGTGAGAGTGTAATCCAAATCCACCATTTGCTATTTACCTCGTGCTGTGGAGACTAAATGACCTGATGATGAAATAAGAAATAAAGCAAGCCTATTTAATTTTAGTGAAGGCCATATTGGTGCCTTTCTTTAGTTTAAAATGAAAATATTAGAATGCCGCTATTCTTATTCACTACTTTTTTTAAAACTTTTCTTTTAAAAAAAAGATTGATTATAATAACAACACAAAAGTGGAAGTAAAATTCACTTTTGCGTGCCTCGGATCGGAGCAGTCTTTGAGTGATTTTTATTATGCTAAATCAGAGCTCTTTTTAACACTTTCGTATTTGTAAGTTATTTATGGACTAGGGACCTCCCCAACCCGTCTGGCCAGAGCGTGGGCAGTGTAGTCTAAATCCTCCATTCATATTCAAATTCAAATTCAAATAAATTATTCAGTACATAGGCCCTTTGAAGGGCACATTTGCCTCTAATTACATTAGACAGGAGCCAGCCGTCGTGCAGCCAGCCGTCGTGCTCCTGCAGTGGAGACTAATGCCCGTTTTCACCATCAATCCCTAATTTTTAAGTGACCCCCTATGGTAACATATAACAGGAATTTTGTTTCCATAGGGGTCACTTAAAAATTAGGGATTGATGGTGAAAACGGGCATAAGTGACCTGATGATGATAGGGACTAGGTATCAAATTATAGTTGTTCAGTGTCCGCCAAACTTTACTAGTGGGTGTGAAGCAGCGACAGTACAATAGCATTAGGAATGCCGGGTCGTGCCTGCATGGACAGCTGATGGGTGCACAGCAGTGACATGGCCAAGTTTAGAACTCCATAAAGGTAAGTCCTATTACTTCTTTCATAGATAATTTTATTTTCAATTATCATACTAATGACCTAGCCCTAAGATCTTGTTGTATGGTGACTAGGCAACGGATAAACATATTTAAATAGATACATATCTTAATTACAAGGAAAATCTATTATCTGTCGTGTCATCGGTAAGTCAACCAGTTCTATGATTGGTATTATTATAGTCAACACTTCAGACAGATATTTATGTTGCGATAAAGCACTTACTGCAACTTGAGAAGATGCCTATAGGTATTAAGCTTGATGTGTGATCTGTCATCATCATCATCAGCCTATAGAAGTCAACTGCATAGTCTCCTCAAATGTGCGACGTTTTAGCCTAGTCTGTCTTGGACTTGTCCCATACAGCTTCTGCCAGCGACCTTTCTTAAGTCATCATTCCACCTAGTTGTAGGGTGGCCTACACTACGCTTCGTAGGTCGTGCATGGTATTAGGGCAATCCCAACTAATATTATAAATGCGAAAGTAACTCTGTCTGTCTGTCTGTCTGTCTGTTACGCTTTCCCGCTTAAACCTCGCAACCGATTTTGATGAAATTTGGCATAGAGATAGTTTGAGTCCCGGGAAAGAACATAGGATAGATATTTTTTATCCCGGTTTTTGAAACAGGGACGCGCGCGATAAAGTTTTTCTGTGACAGACAAAATTCCACGCGGGCGAAGCCGCGGGCGGAAAGCTAGTATTTTATAATGTATAGCTATAACCACAAAAGTTGTGCAGGTATACTGCACAAGTACTTTAAAATCAAATCAAAATTAACAATTTCTTTATTTGTGTTGCGACTAACTTAAGGAGCCTTTACATGTGTCATGATTTTTTTGTGTAAAATAACTAAAAAAATAAGAGAGAGAGTAGCTTCGAAAGCGAAAGATCGTGAGTTCAATTCCCTCTTGAGGCAATGAGTTTTTCAAGTGTTAAAAACGGTTTGATACACTCTCTACGATAATATTACTAAGTATAGGTACTTTTAATTTATGAGAGGTACTTACATTGTCCTTGGCCATGGTGTTGCACCCCATAAGAGGGAGAGTGTACTTAAGTTCCCCTCTCGCATGCTCGTACTCTCGGAGGCAGGAGGAGTTGCTGCCCAGACCGGCCGGGTAGACTATACCGTTGAACGTGTCGAAAAGGTCACTGTGGAAGAATTAATGAATGAATGAATCCAAAAAGAACTATGTTTTTTACAAACACTTCAGTATTGAATCGTTTGCGTATCGAATCTCCATCAAAAGATTTAGTACGAAAATTACAACAGCGCCCTTGTGAACTTGTCGTGAAGTGAACTTAGTATGAGAAATGGTTGCACGAAACTTATTTTGGGAATCAAAATTGACACGTTATCGTTTAATTCGAAGGTTGAGTATCGAATTTTGTCGAATACGTAAACGATTCGAAGACGAAAGTTGTTCATGCTAGAGGTACAGTTGTTCGTCGTATAAAGGGGTCTTCAGCGCGTACGCAACAAAATACCTACAAAAATTTTTGAATGTTGACGTGATTTTGTTGATTATTTAGGGCAAAACATCCGCTGGAGACCCGGCTTTAAACATATTTTTTTATTTGCATACATACAGGCCTTTTATAAAAATTTTAGATGTCAAACCTTGCTACTGCTTTGGCACAGTGAAGGGATAGCCTCTTTTTAAAGTCTCTTCAATAATTATTATTATTGATGCGAGCTAAGCACGTTACTTAATTTTCTACTTTATTATAGTTAAACCTATAATAAATAATGTCTTTTAATTTAGTGAAGATATACGAACAGTATAAACGAATCATATAAGCCATAAGAAGTCTAAAATGAAGCTAACGAAACATAAACCATAAATGAACTCTGAAATTAAGCTTAAGCTTTTAGAAAAGCTGCGGCAAACAGACAAACATCTACTTAATTAAACTTCCGTCTTTCCAACGTCTTACGGAACCTTAAAACTGGTCTAATGTTGAAGTTATTGCTGTTGCTATTAAATAGAGACGATTATGAAAGGAGAAGGGAATTGCGAATGTTAGGTAAGATGAATCCCCGTCATTTAGAAAGGGATCACCTTTCTATAACTGGCCGACACTTCCTTATACAGATTAGCCTAAACAAAACGTCTCAAATATAACTACATAGCTTTTGACTAGCCTTAAATATACTAATACTAGCTTTTGCCCGCGGCTTCGCCCGCGTGGAATTTTGCCTGTCACAGAAAAACTTTATCGCGCGCGTCCCTGTTTCAAAAACTGGGATTAAAACTATCCTATGTCCTTTCCCGGGACTCAAACTTATCTCTATGCCAAATTTCATCAAAATCGGTTCAGTGGTTTAGGCGTGAAAGCAAGACAGACAGAGTTACTTTCACATATTATCTGTCTATACTTATAATAAATCTGTAGAGAGGTCAATTCTGTACATGAAATATATTTTTAAAATAACTATCAGGGGGTAATTATTATTGATTAGTGATCGTTATTGATGCCAAAAATGCAATCAGTAAAATTTTTGTCTGTCTGTCTGTATATTCCTTATAGAAACAAAAACTACTCTACAGATTTTAACGAAACTTGGTACAATTATTCTTTATACTCCTGCGCAGGTTATAGTATACTTAGGAATTCCCACGGGAACGGGAATTAGCGGGAAAATCCTTTTGTATGAAACATCTAAACCGCTTAAGTTAGACGCTTGAAATTTGGCATGCAGGTACCTTAGTATACTTAAAGCTTAGTTACAACAGGATATTGCACAATTCCCACGGAAACGGGAGTTAGTGGTAAAAAACTTTTGTGTGAAAAAATCTAAACCGCGTAAGATAGATGAAGGGGGTAAAACGGGATCCACGCGTACGAAGTCGCGGGCGGCCGCTAGTTTCTAATATTAGAGTAGATAGAAATATAGAAGTGAGGGTGCCTGAGGTATGGAAGCGGCACGGGAGGGTGTTTTTGAGACGTCCAACGTTAGCGAGTTCTTTCTTTCAGATTTGTATGCTCTGTCACGTCATAATAAACAATGTCACCCGAGTGTCACTTCCATACCTCAGGCTCTGAGTTAAGCGGTACACCTATAGTTTAATAAGCTATCAAGGCAAATAAATAGGGCCTATCCATGTTTCCACTGTAGGGTCTTTTGGGTAGTAGTAGTTTTGGGCTGACACTGTGTAGGTTTGTTGTCGACACGAAAAGAAGAAGAAGGGTCTTTTAACTTAGCATCAATACATATAAGATACCCTGGAGTTGCTTATTCTTTCGTAGGTAATGCTTAAAAACAAAAATTTTTTTATCCCTAACTTGGTAAATGATAAGATTTCCCCACAAAGCTTAATTTAACTTATTTCAAGTTTTTCGAAACTACAGTGTGAGTCTTGATAAAGTGTACATATAAAAATAGGTGTTTCACTTCACCTATTTTCAAATGTGCGCTTTAACAAGACGCACACTGTATAGTTGACTTTTGGTATCTAACTTAGGGTGGATTCGACCAAACAAGAGTAAATATTAATCTCAGAATAAATTGTCAGTTTTGACATACATATTATCCCATACTGTGAAACTGTCAATATGCCAGTTATACCAGGAGTTATTCTCGGATAAAACTTTGGGTCGAATTGGGCCTTTGTAGGTTTACCATTACCTTTATAAGTTCTTTAACTAAGTTTAGTTTAACTCAACTTTAGAAGAAGTCAAAGTTAGAGTAACTATATTTTTCTGCAAAACAAAAAGAACTCACTTGTTTTCATCAAACTTGCGGTCCACATGTGCGAGCGAGACGGTGATGTGCATGCTGTCCCTCTCGCACGCGACTGTGAAGTCGTCGATCGGCGCTTGCGCGGGCCATGACGTCGCGTCGTCTTCGGTGGTCACTTCTGTGGTGGTCTGTAGTTCTAGAAGATAAAAGAAGAATAATTTAAATCAAATCAAAAATATTTTGTTCAATTTAGATCAAAAGTGGCACTTATGAACGTCAAAATATAGTAAATAAAAAAAAGGTATCCCTTATTAATTGGGCACTTTACATGTCTCCTTATCTTTTGGGCCCTACCAGCGCTTCGAGACAAACATATTATATGGCAAGTGCTGAGAAGAAACGCCGGAACAAACTCAGTCACCACTAGTTGCTAGTAATTATCTAGCGGCAAGAATAACCAAATTCAAGTACATCAAATATGTGCAGACTGAACTGACCACGCATCCTTGTCATCAATATAGTTTCGAACCTTGTAGCTCTATGGACATAAGGGTATTTTTTATTTAATAAAGAGGTAGTCCACTTAAAGTACCCGCCCGAATAGCACCTGCACGAACAGCACTCACAACACAATAGCCTAGTGCTGGCTGCTAATCTACTATATAAAAATAAGTCGGGTTTTCCTCCCTGACGATATAACTCCAGAACGTACGAACCGATTTCCACGGTTTTGCATTCGTTGGAAAGGTCTCGGGCTCCGTGAGGTTTATAGCAAAGAAAATTCAGGAAAATTTAACAAACGATATTCCACGCGGGCGAAGCCGCGGGCGGAAAGCTAGTGCTAAATAAATAATTATTTGTTAGATAGCAGTGTGCTTGTTTACCATGAGTTTTCGTTAGGTGTGTTCGCTAGCGACTGCGCAAAAAGTTAAATGATAAATTGTACAGCGCCCCTAGCGCCTAATTTCAAGAACCAAAAACTTCATAGATTTAAAACTCGGTAAAACTTCTCATGGTAAGCACACAGGACGTTATCAAATAAAAAATTTCGCCCTAAAAGTACCAGGGCAACATAATCTTACAGGAGCTAAAGTTTTCTTGATAGGTAGTCTTGAAAAAAATCTACGTAGTTATAAGAACATCAACTCTGAATAAAAGCTTTCAGTTCATAAACGTTAAGAACCTAACAATCAAAATTTTTACATAAAACTTGACTTAATTTTTACCTGTCTTTTTTCCCTAAACATTTTCAAATATCCAACCAAACATACTTCGCACATAACAGTAACTTCTACATAAAAGTACCTACCTACCTCTCAAAATTTTAAAACCAAACCCGTCCCGAAGTCAAATTATGTGTACTTATATAGAAATCAACTATTAAGTCATTTGGTGACCGCGGCGAGGTCATCGCCCTGCGTGCGCGCATCCTTGCTAGGCTAAGGGACTGGTGCGTCTTTTAAACTTCGTGAGGCTTGTTACAAAAAGTTAAACGCCTGTTGAATACTTGTTTAAATTGTCATTTAGTATGGAAATGTAATTTTAAACCAAAAGTTCAATGTGTGTCTTTTTGTAATAAAGCCCCGTAAGATTAACAAGATACCAAAAATATACTTAAAAAATACTAGGGACACTAGCTAAAATCTTTCAAAAATCGACATTAAGTGCCTAATATTACGTAAATACGGGAAATACAAAATAATGTTGAGAAATTTTAAAAATTTCCCACATAAAGAATTTTCATTCACTCCTAACACCTTATTAGCAATTTATCAACTTTCATCCTCTTTTTAACCGACTTCAACAAAAGGAGTAGGTTCTCAATTCGGTTGATAAGTTTTTTTAAGTTACTTTTAGTAATTTTCTTCGTTAAAGTCAAATCAAAGTCACGAAAACGTTACAAGCTTATAACTTTTGTTTAACATCAGTATTGATTGATTTTACGGAAGTTCTATTAACACCTTGAAGTGTTACTTTTAAGATATTGCTGAGAAAAAAGAAACAATTGCCGAACACGACTAGTCATGTAGATGCAAATATTGTTAAATAAGTATTTCTTCATTCTTCCTATTATTACAACAGATTTAAATTGATTGTATTTCGAACAGTTCTCACAGTAAAGATGTGCAATATAGCCTTGAAGATCGCAACCAGTAGAAAGCTCTCACAATTGTAACTTAGCAGCTTTTAAAAGTTCTATTTTGAAAAGTGAGCATAGGTAGGCACTAAAACCACGTAAAATGCCTCTTGATCTTGATCAATGACTGATTTATTATTTGTAATTTGTGTTTCAAAAGCCTAGATTTTCCTGTTATTTATATTTTCATACGTTCCATAAAGCTAGGTCTTACACTACTACGTTTGTTTCTTGCTTCAAAAGTATTTTCAAAAGACTTCCAAATTGTAACACAAAAGTTACTCAAGCCTTGATTTCAAAACACCCTGTCCCCAGGTTTTCGAGTCCTTTCTTTAGAAGCTGCGCGAAAGTAGCTTTTATTACTACTGCCGAAAGTTTATTTTCCCTCTTTTTCAGTGGCGACCACTGGCGATACACATAAAATATTTACAAGGCTTTATGTGAGTTTAGTAAACCACAGCTTAAATAGAACAGTCGAAACAAACAACGAGAATAGTCCTTAGTTTTTTGTGTGTCCAAAAATTAGTTCCTGTCCTATCCCATAATTATATTTAAGATCGATCAATAGAATGAAAACCACATGATTTATTTACCTACTCATGTAGGCCACGGTTACCACGGTCTTTTCATACAGGTTATTTATGTACATAAACCTTTGTTTGTAACCTGTCATCCGCTTTGCACAGGAGGGAAGTCGAACCTTATAATTTCGAACTCCTATGTTCTTCTGATTAATTTCGTTGCGGGCCTAATGACAGATTAACTTTCTTCCGGGACAAAGTTGACCTTCACTGTTTTTTTTAGCCGTTACATCTTTAATTTAAAAGTGACTTAAAGGTTGGGTTTTTATTTGCGGTCAAGCTGCAGATCCTGACTACATAGCAAGGAAGTCCCGTGACTTACAAAAAGGTGAGCATTCTCATATCGATAAAGGTAGTTAGAGATGTATTAAAATGATGGCCTGAGCAAAAAACAAATTATTTTCACTCTTTCTTTGAAATAAAAAGGATACGACGTGTCCTGGCTGATCATCGCGGGCTGTGGCACAAATTACTGGACATTGAACATGTTCCTTTTACCGGACCGGTCCGCATGACTTTTGTATGACTTGGCGAATATTCAGTTGGCTCTTTTTTTAAAAACTAAGTTTTTGTTTTGAGTTTTTTTGCTCTGTGTTGACTTGCAGGATCTTTTTGTTGGTGTCTTTGTTGAATGAAGATCATCGTTAAAGATAAAAATCTCGTAGTTTATGTTGAAGACTAATTAAGGAAGTATGTTAATTTGAGCAATCAAATTAAAATAGAAGACAAAGCCGCACTCAAGAGCAATTAGTTGAGATACAAAGCAGAGTTATAGGTCACTAGACATACTCATTGGCGTGTCTAGGGTTCTTTTTCAAGGGGGGGCCGACTCCTGATATGCCCTCTCACTTGGTGCGATTAGTATCATAGCTCATGAGTTACCTACTATTAACTATCATCTTAAATAAAATCACGTATATAGCAGGGGGCCAGGGTGGCACAGCCCCCCATCACTGGAAGTACCACCAAACAAACATTTTTGCACAACCCAAAGGTAAACTGGTCGAGAATGCTGTAGTGCATTAAGCTCGCCTTATGTACTTAATTTTGGCATTAAAGTTTTAAATAAAAATAAATAAATAAATGGTCGGGTGCCCCCAAGGATGTTAGGATACCATTACAAGATGACAGAATATGGTACTAATCACAAATGTGACCTGAAATGTGGCCCTCTGACCCTGGACTGGCTAGATTAAGATGATGATGAAAGTTTTAGTAGTTACCTTTGCTCTGTGGTAACTGTTTGCATCGTACAGTCGCGAGCAGAGTCGTTATAAGCAGCACACGCCACATATTTCAGTCTGAAACAAAAGAAGAACTGAGTTAGATTAAAGGACAAGGTGGACAGATGACAAAAAGGTTGCAGGAAGGCGCTGGTGCAGGCCGCTGCCAACCGGCCGATCTGAAAATCATTGGGGGAGGTCTGTGTTCAGCAGTGGACATCCGGTGGCTGAAATGATGAGATTTCAAAATGATGTATTTTGGTCGCAATCTCAGATCATAGACAGGGACCTTCTATGATATGAGGTCGCAATAGACATTTGAATTTGTTGATTTAAAAAATAACTAAGATTAATAAAATATCATCATAATAAAATATCATCATCATCATCATCATTTCAGCCAGTTTTCCACATCGCCCGGTTCGTAGCGGCCTGCATAGATCGATATACTCGTGATGAAATTAAGGAAGAATTGGACACATGTAAGACTTACCAGGTACAAAAAAAACATATAAGTTTAAAATATAAAATGACTACAAATTCTCATCTAACCTGAAAGAAAATGTGTGTCGAGTATTTGTAGAATGCAACTTTTTAGTTAATTTACTTGTCTTGTGTTTAATTACATATTTGTAACCTCTTTTGCGTCTTGAATCTACACTCGGCATCAAATAAATCGCACCTCCCGCGACAAGCACTTATCAAACGTATGCATCCCCACTTCCCAACAACGTTGGTACCATTTGAAAGCCTAGTTCTAAACTTCATTTCATTAAAAGAAAGGTGTTTACCCCAAAAATGTGTGTTTACAAGGATCCAGAGTCACTTCTTCAAAAAATAGGTAGTTACGCTATAGCCATTTTTTATGACTATAAAACTGTTAAGTTGGGATTAATCGCTATCCATCTGTTAAAGAGGATACGTGAGATCTTTATTTGGTTTTATAACCATAAAAATTGGTCTAATTGATCCCAGAGGTGAGCCCAAAGTGAGGTCTATTTTCAAGTCACATTTATGGTATATGTTAATCATTTATTTACAAATAAAATGTATTTTTCTTAAAGGATATTTATTGGGCTTTCAAAAAACACCAATATTGTTGGGGTACCATGATTGTGTCAGAAGAAAATCTTTAAAGTTCGCGTCGCGGAAGGTGCGGTTTATTTGATGTTGAGTGTACTATTTCCAAACAAAACTATATCGCAAATATTATAAAACAAGCTTGCTGTTCGAGTGTCGCTGGTATTGATGTGCCGTTCCCGAGAACGCTCTCTCAGCTGAGAATATTCTCGGGAGCGTTCCCGGGAGCGTTCTCCTAAGTGAGAAAGGTTGAGAATCATGTTTATAAAATGGAAATAAACAAACTTTCTTAAGTAAAATAGTATTAAATTAAGTCAACAGATAAGTGTATATTAAACAATACACTCTATTTGCAGTGAAAGGCTATATTCTCAGTGTTCCCGAGAATATTCTCGGGAACTTTCTCGGCAATATTCTTGGCAACTGCAACTTTATTATATTTTATTTTTTTCGTCGTGAAATGTCGTTTTAATGATATGTAAGATGACAGAAATTTCTTTTTACACGTAATTAAATAATGTAACTGTCAATTTTTTAGTTTTTAACACGCTCTTATTACGTCGTCGACGTCGTCGTGTATGTAACTAACTATGTAATGGAATCTTAGAATCTGAATTACACGCACTTCTAAGTCTTGTATCATCATGAAACTTGGCAATTATATGTAGAGAAGAAATGACAATACAATATTGTGGTACCAGCTGGTCTGATGGGACTGGAAGGTGGCCAAAAGAAGTCCTAAACGAAACGGCAGAATCACATCGAGTTTGGTTTCATTGGATGTCTTTTCGAAATAAAAATAAGGCACAACATAATCACAATATAATCTTTAAGTCCTAATGATGGAGTCAGGAGGTAGCCATAGGAACTCCTAAAAGAAACGAGTCGTCGAGTTTGGTTTCGTTGGATTTGTCTTTTCGAGCACTTTAATGCTAGATAATGTCCAAGGTCCTGATGATTTTTGACTTTTTAGTGTTGTTAGTAATTAAAAGCGTGTTTTTAGTTTTTTAAACTATTCTTATTTGACATTAAGGGCATATTTCACAATCGTAGTAAGGGCCTGTTTCACCACTTCTGGATAAGTTGTGGATAGCCTGTCTGACGGATCATTTGACACATTTTTATAGAAAATACGTGCTAGCTAGATTGATCCGACACTTAACGAATATATCCCGTACACAGTACAGTCTGTACGAGATTAGAATGGTTCTCAAACAGCTGAAAAACAAGGCACCGTAATCACGTTTGAGCTTCTGAAAGCAGGCGGAACGCCGGTACTAAAGGCCCTAAACCTTGTTGAAGAATTATAGACCCATTTCGCTTCTGAGCCATGTCTACAAGTTGTTTTCGATAGTCATTACGAATTGTCACGCTAGCAAGCTCGACTACTTTCAGCCCCCCGAACAAGCCGGTTTTCGAAAAGGCTTTAGTACCACATACCATAATAAATACGCTACTGCAGATTATACGGAAGATCAAGGAGTATAATCAGCCACTTTGCGTTTGTGAACTATGAGAAAGCCTTCGATTCGATTGAGACATGGGCAGTGCTTCAGTCTCTTCGACTGTGCCAAATTGACTACTGATACATTAAAGTGTTGAAAGGCTTGTACAAACACGCCACAGTGATAGTCCGTTTTAAGATCAGGACCCGAAACCTATCCAGTTCCAGAGAGGAGTGAGACAGGGAGACGTCATCACCATCGCCCTGGACGATGTTTTCAAGCTTCTGGGCTGGAGCGGATTCAGCATACATATCAACGGCGAGTACATAACCCAGACAGCAGACGATATCGTAGTCATGGCTGAGATCGTGGAAGATCTAGGCACAATGCTCTATGGTCTCAATAGAGTCTCTCAACAAGTGGGTCATGGTCATCAAATGAACATGGACAAGATTTAAAAATCATGTCTAAAGACCGTGTTGCACCCACTCCTCTAAAAGTTGGAGACTCTACTACACTACACTCGAGGTTGTTGACAATAATGTATACCTGGGACAAACAGTCCAGTTAGGTAGGTCCAACTTCGAAAAAAAGGTCAATCATCGAATCCAGCTCGGCTGGGCAGCCTTTGGGAAGCTTTACGATATTTTCACGCGGCTTCTCCGTCGCATCGCCACTCCGCTTTAAATCCACTTTGAATCCGCTTGCAATCCGCCAGGGTGGCAAGGGCCTTAAAACTCAGAGGCACACTGATGTTCAAATACCGTAGCCGATTCCTAAAGCCGCGGCACGCGTTCGACACGAAAAGAGTAAGCAAGACTGCAATATCTCACTCACACGTTTTATGCCTTGTTTATAACGACTAGTCTTAACGCCCAGTTAATAAAACATCGAAACATTACAAATAATATCACATTTAAACAACAAAATTTAAATTAAAACTAAATGTATTCTGTCGAGAACACTGAGAATATTCCCGGGAGCGTTCTCGGTTCTCGAGAATATTCTCACTGGGAATATTGCCGGGAACGAGAACTTTCTCAGCGGCACATCTCTAGTCGCTGGTCACTATAGTTGTATTATTAACTATACTTATCGCTCGATCAGTGAAAGGCTGGACTACGCCCTGCGGTAGGGTTGCCAGGTCCAAACACAAACGCCGGACGCGGTGCTTAATTTGGTCGGACATTTTGTCCTGAAGCCGGACATAACTTTTTTGATAAAGTCAAAGTCAACATTTCTTAATTTGTGTAGCCTATTTAAATTGTACTTACAAATCGTCAAATATATTGCTCTTAAGGAGCCTCTACATGTCTCATAATCTTTTTACCCTACTAGATAGCGCTTCGATAGGTACCAACATTTGGCAAGTGCTGAAAAGAAGCACCGCAACAAACTCGGTCACTGTCTGTCATCAATATCTTAACATGCTATGTCACTTGGGGGTTCAATAATAATTAGTATCATAGCTCGTGAGTGAGCACTATCATCTTTAAATCAGTAGTCCAACATTCTAATACGCGCACGTGTGCTCGATAATATTCTGTGGCTTTTTCAACTGGCACGGCAGCAACATAAAAAGCCTAACAAAAGCCGGACAGGCCGGACAAGGGAATATTTGGCCGGACAAGTCCGTAAAAAGCCAAACATGTCCGTCTAAAGCTGCACTCCTGGCAACCCTACCCACGGGTCTGCCAATGAATGCAGAAACTTTGTAATACCTTATAAGTATAATTTGGAACTATTAAATCTCTGTAAATTGTGTGGGATGCAATAAAAGCTTATAGATTAGCTTTTCCCGGGGTTTCTATGGTGCTACGTGACGGTATCGTGATGTAGTAACGATAGCACATCGAGTTTAACCAGGGGCACCTTATCCAGCTCTAATAGCGGCTATTTTGCAATCAAAATAGACACTCTGAGTGCTGTCGACTCTACATATAAGACTAGACGCAGACCACCAACTTTTCGTTGGCCGTTGGTTGGGCTGTTAATCAGTATGGAGATGTATGAAAGTAATTGCTATCGGCCGATTCTTCATACAAATCAGAATCGGGCCCAACTATAGGTCAACTAAAAGTCGGTGGTCTGCTCCTAGGCTAAATGGGGTAGTTTACTAGTCAACTGACATACTTTTTATGAGTTCTAATTACGCGATTCTACATAGACTTGGGCACCATGGCAACATTATTACTTCGCGAACTAAACTATTTATTGTTTTTACAGCAACCAAAAGCAAAAAAGTCAGTTGAAAGCTAACACGGTTTTCTGGCAAGAACTTGCAGGTCCAATGACAGTTTCTAAACCTTTGTTTGTCACCTGTCATCCGCTTTGCAAGGGAGGGAAGTCGAACCTAAACTTCGAACTCCTCCTATGTTCTTCTGATTAATTTCGTTGTGGGTCCAATGACAGTTTAACTCTCCCCCGGGACAAATTTGACCTTCATTGGTTGGGTTTTGCTTGGCGGTCAAGCTGTAGATCCTGGCTACACAGGAGTTGCAGCGGTGGGAACGAGAGGTGGGAATAGTCCCGTTTTTCAAGAACTTAAGTTCT